GGGGGGGGGGGCGTGGCTGCAGTGCCATTGAGTTCAATGCACCGCCACGCCCCCTCCTGCCCCAAAACAAAGTGAGCTGCCCGTGGTGCGTTCCAGAGGCCGAATGCACTGGAACGCACTCTTGATGGTGTGACTGGGCCCTTACACCACAAGAATAACACCAGTCACTGTGAGGTCCCATAAGAAACAACTGTTCACATTAGAACGCGGGTCTGATGTGCTGCCCTGTGTTGTACCGCTGAGCAGCAAACCGCACTGCTGTGTGCAGACCTGACTGGAGTGTACAGTCCAAATGAGGTTAAAGAAAAAGTAAACCATGATGCGGTGAAACAGCATATCGGACCGGACCTCAAACACCATACTGGCCAGCACGCCCCAAGAGGGAAATGACTTCACTTTGGGGAGCTTTGCCCTCACTTCCTGTTGTGCTTATAGGACAGGAAGTAAAGGAAAATCTCTGGAATGGGACACCAATAACAAAAAAAAAACAACACACAAGGGCTTTTTACTATTCCACACTACACAAAAAGAAATTGTTTGGCATTTAGCTTTACCTGAAGTTTATTCTACTTCTATTTTGCCTCCCGGGTCTCTCCTTTTTCCCCTGATCAGTCTGCTAATATTTTTTTGTTAGCATACCTTAATTTAGAGCCAGTAATGTCATCACTAGTTCTATGCTTCTCTAGGCCGTGTGGGCAGATCATGCCTGGTGGGAGGGGCTAGCAGGGTGTACATGGCTTCCTAAAAACATCACAGCACCCTGCCTCAGTACTCTGCCAAAAGCCCTCACCCCTGATGTAAGCAGTGGGTTGGATCTTGGGAGAAGTTATGCAAATATCCAGAATGCCTCAAGGGGTGGATGTCAGTTTGGAGGAGTGGGCGTTCCTAAGCGGACTAATTGCATATACTGTAGATTGCCCTAGGTAGCACCCACATTTGATGATGAGCCTCCATGATTACAGTTGTCACCCTGGGACAGTAAGTATGTTATTGGCAGGATCATCAGGTGAAAATAAAGTACAAAAACCTGATAAAAGAAAACAAATGCCGCCACCGCATCTGAGGATGGATACGCTGAAAAATATATTACATTTTGTTCTTGTCTTTAGTTATTTTATACAGAAGCTATAGGAATCATAGTGGGACAATATTCATTTTTGGGATCCTGCAGCCCATCACCTGCTCCCCCTATCATACCAGCTCTAGGCTTGTCCAGACACAGAACCTTTCCTCTGATCTCTGCCATGAGGACATCTCTACCCCCATCCCAATAATAACTCCCTGTGTTCAATAAGCTCGGTGTGCAGAAGAGCAAAGTCCACACCGGAAGTTCTCTCCTGCCCAGTTGGCGTTGGATACAATCTGATACCGTAACACTGCGAGCGGCTGGGAGGAGCCTGAAGGTCACGTGAGCCAACATGACAGCCACCCAATCAAAGCCGCTGCAGCAAGGGGAATATGAAAGGTCCACTGCTATTGGCTGACTCCTAGCTGGGCAGGCAAGGGGAGGAGCTAGAACAAAGACTTCCTGAAGACAGCTGGCTCGCTCAAGGTGTGTGTGGGAGGGGCTGAGGAACTGCAAGTCCCAGCATAGGAGTCTGGGGCCGCGGTGTATGCTGGGAGTGCCGAACAGCATGGGAGTTCTCTTCTGTAGAGCACGCTGGGATTTGCAGTGCATGCTGGGACCTCCCCTACACTTTAAAGCTGGAGTATAGTGGAGGTCGCTCTGTGCTGTCATTTCTGTCAGGTGGGGTATGCTGGAACTTGTAGTTCCACCATAGAGTGTCACACCCGTCACTGTGTGCATAAGTGCTCCAGGAGATGGGGCAACCTTTTTGTTTTTTGTTAGCGGTGGGGAGGTTTCCTGCCAGTTCCCAGGCCCCTAACTGCCCCTGTGTAACCCAGAGCTCCTTAAATGCAATAATAGCCTTGTGTCAAATGACCGTGCATATTTTGCATCACTTCCTGTTTCGGAGACACAATAGGAAGTGAGAGGAGATCTCTTCAAAGTGAGGGGAAACCACCTCTTAATTGGCACTAAAACAGGAGTCCCCACTGGAAGATTTCCCCTCACTTCCTAGTCTGGTGACAACTGTAATTGTTTAGATTTCCCATCACTTTCTATCCCGGTGACAAATAGGACACAGACTGCAATAAAAAGCTGGCAGGGGCTCTAATCTGTGAGCACCCTTCTAAAAATGGGCTTTTCTGACAATAGTGGCAAATAAAAGAAAACTCTTCTCCACCAGAAAACCAAACTTAAATGTTTGGCTGGAGCACATTAGTATAAATCTGTTCTCATACCAAGTTGCTGCACTGCTGATGAAAGCTGAATTCAGGCTTGCAGTGGGAGTGACAGATGGGTGAAAAGGGGAGGTCCTTATAGTTAAAGGGAAAGCTCTGGGTGGAAATTACCAGTGTGCAGGAGGCGGGGCAGTGACATGAAGTGTACAGAACTGCAGCTTTGAAAAGTGTTGTCACCACTCCCAAACAATGCGGCCCCCTAACTCATCACAGACGGGGGGCGTTACGTGACGTATTATTTGGCTGGTAAGAGCTGTTGCCCTGAATGCCTTTCGCCCGTGTATTTAGGCGCTGGGTGGAGTTTTCCTTTTATTTAGATTCTGTCACTTTAAAACCCACTGACCCTACAATCTGATTGTACAATCTCCTTTAGATCTGCCGACATCTATGTCAAAGGACTGCGGATTGGATACACATATAATGGGGTGTCTAGGCGTCATCATTGACCTGGACGCAGGTTTGATTATCCGTCCTGACCGCCATGTTTTAGTATTTCAGGGTCTCTCGTTGATGCCGGCCCCTCTGCGATGGCGGTGACTGAGAATGTGTCCAGCTGTTCCCTGAGCGCCATGTGGGACTGGTCGCATTTGTCGCTTTCGGGGACGGCGCCAACCGTGTGTTTGTTAGACGCGGCAGCTGACCTGCTGGTGCTGGAGAGGAACTTTGCCGGAGCCCTGGAGCTGTGCGAGAGAGGCCTGCAGATCTTATCGGCGGGCGGCGGAGACACAAAGTGAGTGCGTGCCGCAGAGGTCTGCCAGGGTCTCTTATATGTCTATGAAATGCAAACCACTCCCAGACTCAGAAATACAAACCCCGCCCACTCCCTGAGTCTAAAACACAAACCCCGCCTACTCCCTGAGTCTGAAACACAAATCCCACCCACTCCCTGAGTCTAAAACACAAACCCCGCCCACTCCCTGACACAGAAATACAAACCCCGCCCACTCCCTAAGTCTGAAACACAAACCCCGCCCACTCCCTGAGTCTGAAACACAATCCCCGCCCACTCCCTGAGTCTGAAACACAAACCCCGCCCACTCCCTGAGTCTGAAACACAAACCCTGCCCACTCTGACTGAGAAACACAAACCCTGCCTACTCCCTGACGCATAAACGCAAATTACCGCCCACTTCCTGACACAGAAACACAAATCCTGCTCAGAAACACGAGCTCCGCCCACTCCCTGACACAGAAACGCTAACCATGCCCATTTTGTGATCCAGAAAAACAAACCTTGCCCACTCTCTGAATCAGAAATACAAACTCCGCCCACTCCCTGGCCCAGAAACTTTAACCCCACTCCCTGACCCAGAAACACAAACCACGCCCACTCCCTGACCCAGAAACATCAACCCCACCCACTCCCTGACCCAGAAACATCAACCCCACCCACTCCCTGACCCAGAAACACAAACCCCACCCACTCCCTGACCCAGAAACACAAACCCTGCCTACTCCCTGACCTCAAAACACAAATCCAGGTAAAATGGGATTATGCAGATCATATAAGGTCTTGTTTAACACTTAATAAAGCAGTATTAAACTCACACTTTTTTATTATAATGAATCCAGATTAAACAAATATACATCACCCAGCAAAGTATTTCTTTATATTTTTGCCCAAACACTTACAGCCATCATGTTTCCAAACAGCTCCAACTCTCTTAGATCAGCTTCCCCGAACTTCCTGTTGAGTACATGATCACAAGGGACAGAGCAGTCTTCATCAGCTGTTCATCTACTAGCTTGGAGAAGGAAGAAGGGAAGAGGGAGGGAAAAGAGGATAGGAGAGGGGAAAACAGAGAGCAGGGGAGACGCTTGCTTTGCTGTGTTTGTGGAAGCAAACACAAGGTTACTTCCACACACAAGGGTGTCTCCATAGGACCCTGCAAGGAGCCACCGTAAAACAGGATTTAAGGGCCAGTGCTCAGGGGACCAGCTTATTCTGTAGGAAGATACAACTTTTAAACATCAAGACGCAGCATTAATTGTACGTTTTTTCATCAGCATTTGAAAAAGCTTAAAAAACCTTTTGACTTTAATATAACTTTAAATAAATGTGTGATTCATTCAGAGGTGTGAGATGAAAGGACTGATCAGCGATTCTCCCTCCAGGAACGCACAAGTGAAGGCCTCGCTGTGTGTCATCGGGATTCAGGCCCTGGCCGAGATGGACCAATGGAGAGAGGTCCTGCCCTGGCTCTTCCAGTATTATCAGAATGCACAGGAGATGCCGCACAACATCATGGAGCTCTGGTAATGGTCGTACGACCGAAGGAGGTCAATATGGCTGCTGATCTTTGTATTGTTCTAGTGTGGAATACTGCAGACACAAGGACACAGAGAGGAAGAGGAAACATTCTATGTATATAAATGACCTCACACAGCCCGGGGCTCTCCCATCTGAGCTCCAGGCAGATATTAAAGGAGAACTATGGGGTCAGGGCTTTTCCCCATAGTTCTCCTTAGGGTAACGGGAGGACACAAACTGGCGTCCTCCCGTCACCCTAAGCTCAGTATACCGCGAGCTACAGCTCGCGGTATACTGAGACGCCGCAGCTGAAGCGGATCCCGACAATCGTGCCGGAATACTAATGCTGCTCTGTAGTCATTCATATGTCATTGTCAGACATAGCATGCCGCACTCTACATACAAAGATGACAGCTGATGACAGGTCCACTTTAAAAACATATTTTGAAATGTAGCTTCTGTGGTGAGTGATATGTGATGGAGCTGAGAGTCTCCCCTGGGGGGTGTTGCTGTGAAATCTCTGCATATAACTGAACTTTCTGTCCCTCTGCAGCCTCCTTCTGTACAGCAGTGTGAAGCAGCCCCATGTGATGCTGGATCTGAGCCGGGATTGGCTGAGAGATCCCAACAACCAGCTCCTGCCAGGGTACCGGAAGGTGGCGGAACTCCACCTCCTGCGTATTCTGCTCCCCCTTGGTCACTTGTCGGAGGCCGAGGAGCTGGTACAAGACCCCAGAGCGTTCACCGCTCAGCAACAGGAAGTGGCTCTCTCAGCCGTGGCCGAGCAGAGGAGGCGTCTGAAGCGGGAGGAGGAAGAGGAGGCCGAGAGGGAGAGTCCGGGGGAGCCAGACCATCCTCCAGGTATGAGCATCTCTTCCTCCACCAAGTGACAGGGCTCCTTTTATATCTGACCATCTGAAGGAGGAACTGTCTGTTCGCCGTAGCAGCCAATCACATTCTCCCTTTCATCTTCCCAAATTTGGAGGATCTTAGTCAGATGACACAGCCTGGGGAATTGATCAAACCTGGAGCAGACAGAATCTGGAGCAGTTGCTCATAGTAACCAATTAGCTTCTATCTTCTATGTTCAGTTAAGGTTTGCAAATGAAAGGTGGATGCTGATTGGTTGCCATGGACAACGGCCTGCTCCAGTTTTGATAAATTCCCCCCAGACTGTCCTCTAGAACCTCTTACTTAAAGTGACATTAAACCCTCAGATTTTTTTAACATAAAACAATACTGTAATGTGCGCCTTACTGTAATCCATGGTAGTTTCCCTTCTCTTTGCTGCTCTTCCTTTTAAATCCTCATCTCTTCTCATGCTGGGCAGAACTTCTGTTCTGAGGCTGAGTGCCTCTTCCTGTAGTGCTGCCTCAGGTTGCAAACCTGCACACAGACACCATGTATCCATTTCAGAGACAAGGCAGTCTGCTGCAAAACAGAAGTTCTGCCCAGCATGAGAACAGATACAGATTTAAAAGGAAGAGCAACAAAGAGAAGGGAAACTACCATGGATTACAGTAAGGCGCACATTACAGTATTGTTTTATGTAAAAAAATCTGAGGGTTTAATGTCACTTTAAGTGGACCTGCGCTGGCCCAACAATTGGTAATTTGTGACATTCTCCTTCAGCTTTCAAAATGATCATTTCGAGGGGCTGCAGCGTCCACTTTTTATAAAGTTTATGCAAACCGTCCCAATGAACTTCTCTTATTTGCCACATTATATCATCGGAAGCATTTTGTTATATCTGTTTGAAGAACGGCCATTGATCCTGCCAGAAATGTTGTCATCTGATAACATCCTGTGCTGTGCTCTTAACAGGCACATTGTTCTTAACTTTCTTTAGGGACTACAGAAGACCTCCCCCATGTTATGAAGATGAGGGGAGGTGTGCTATAGTCCAGTCCTAGGTTAAGAACACTGCTCCTCCGTACAGTACAGTGACTGAGCATTGTCACCTTAGGACAGGAAGTGTGTCACTGGCAGGATCACCAGGTGAACATAAAGGCAAAGAAATCCTGAGAAGAAAACAAATGCAGCCACCACAGCATTACAAAAAAAGGACATTTATTAACCACCAAGCATAGAGACTTTTTGGGGCCGCCGATGGTCACTGCTGCCTGAGACAGGGGTCCTCAGTGCCCCCAGAACTTGACTATGTTTGGCGGCGAATAAACGCCTTTTTTTTTGCATTGCTTTGAATGGTGATACTTAGGGGGGAATTCATCAGATTCTAGAGCAGATGTGCACAGCAACCAATCAGCTTCTCTGTCTCATTTTCCAATCTTACCTGAGCAAACTGAAGAGAGATGCTGATTGGTTGCCATGGGCAACTGCTCCCGATTCGGACCGCTCCAGTTTTGATAAATTCCCTCATTTTGTATTTTTCAGTACAGATTCAGATATGAGACAAAGACAACAGCAGGCATTGATCTGAAGCATTAGATCGCAGCTGGTAATTGGTTTCCCATTCTGTGTTGCAGCGGCAGGAGGCGCACTGGCGAGGCGTGAACGTTTGGTGCGAATGTACGGGGCGCTGAGCGTGGCGGTGACGTGGGTTCGCAGAATTCCACTCCAACGCTTGTTGGTGGCGCTACTCCTGATGTCCGTCATCCTGCTGCGACTGGATCCAGGTCAGGGCGGCTGTAGATACATGCCGTATAACGGAAGGATTCAATAATATCACAGAGAATATGACAACTCCAAACCACAAATATTACATAACGTGCGCAAAGCCTGAGTTTTATATCATCCGGGGAATTGGCTTTTCATAGGGCTTCCCAGCATGACTTCAGCCTCTTATCACATGATCCTGTGCTGGGGAACCTTCCTCCCCTGCTTCACTGTGTGTGGGCGGAGCTGGAACACACTGGCTGCATTTTCACAGATTCAGATAGGATGTCAGCAGGTAAGGAGGTTTGTCTGGGGAGGGGGGTAACCCAGAGCAGGGGCAGGCAACCTCAGCACTCCAGCTGCTGTAGAACTACAAATCCCATGAGGTATTGCAAGACTCTGACAGCCACAGGCATGACTCCCAAAGCAGAAGCATTATGGGATTTGTAGTTTCACCACAGCTGGGGTGCCAAGGTTGCCTACCCTTTACACAGATGATAAGTGCCAGAGTGAAAATGATAAACACTCAGCAGGTAAGCCATGTGCCTTGAGTAAGGGTGAATGCAAACTTTGCAAGTTTTACTAGAGTGGGGCTTTAAAATGAACGTCTGGTCCATTTAAGGGGTACATTTATGAACAAGTGAATGTGATATTAACCAAACATTCACTGCAGGTTAAAACACACGCACAAGGAAGATTCACATGCAATGAATGTTTGCTTAATGTCCCATTCACTTCTTGTTTTGAACTTGTAGATTGTAGTTGAAGATGCCCGCTGTTACCATATTTACCCAGAGACGCTACGTCTGTGCCCCTCTCTGATTTAGCTTCACTCTATCCTTGGCCTGAGCCCTTTAACCCCTTCACGACTGAGCTTTTCTTCAGTTTCTGTTTGTTAACGACCGACACACTTTTTACATTTTTGCTGTATGATTCTTTCACGGCAGTAATATCCTTTCTTACGAAGCGCACCCAAACATATTATATATTTGCTTTTCAGAGGACAGATAGGGCTACATATTTAGGTTACATATGTGTGCCTAACGCCTCACTTACGATGAATAAAATAGAATAGGATAATGATGCTAGTATCGGTGCCGATGCCGAGTATTTGGGCGATGGCTAGCCCGATACTTCCGGCATCAGGAAGCCGAGCAGCGAGTCATTACACGGCGACTCGGCTTCCTGATCAGCCAGAAAGTCGGCTCCTTGCTCCCTCGTCAACAGGCGACGAGAGAGGATGGAGACAGCTTCCCTGCTAATCGGGAAGCCGGGTGGTGAGCCTGGCTTCCTTAATGGGGCTTCAGGTATCGGTATTCGGTATCGGCAAGTATCGGGGAAAAAATATCGGTACTCGTACTTGATATAGAAAAAACGGTATCTGTGCATCCCTACTAAAAACCAACATTTTATTTATTTTTTTTCTCTAAAATATAATAGCGGTCACCAGGTTAGACAGGTGGAATACAATGCCACTGTGACAGTGAATATCGCCGCCATGAGGGCGTTAAATTAAAACAAAAAAATATTAGGGGAAAAAACAAATCTGCAGATTTTCATTGTAAGGGGTTAATTTTTATAATAAATGGTCAGAGGATTCTTTACCAATCAGGTTTACAAAATTTGACTTGTTCCCTTTCAGCTTCTCCAATGTCCCATGGTCCTATCGCTCATCTGCTTCTCCTCCTGCGACAAATGGCCAACAGCGTCTTCAAGAATTCACCACCAAGTCGGCCATGAGCCGCTGAAAGGCCTTTCCACTTAAAGTGGTATTTCAGTTGTATGTGGAGTACCGTGGGCTTGCTGGATTCAGCGGTGAGACTTCTCTTCCATCATTCCCGGCTCTGCTCCTGCACATCTCAGAGTTCTGAGTATCCCCGCCCACCCCTGTGTGTCCCGGCTCCTCCTCTTACATTCTTCATGATATTAAGTAAATAGCAGGGATGGCGGGATGCAGAAGTTGGAGTTTTGGGTGGACTAACCCTTTAATTATTAGTCATTGGCACCCCTGTACGCCACTCGAATACAAAGTGCCTTGTGCATGAAATGTGTACCTAGTAACCAGATTTCCATGTGTTGCCGTGGTTGCTATGGGCAAAACCTCGCTTTCAGATGTGGCCGGTTCCATTTCCTTTATGGAGGTGGGCAGTGTTGGCACTCCTGCTGTTGTGGAACTACAAGTCCCATTTGGGATTTGTAGTTTCAACACAGCTGGAGTGCCGAGGTTGCCTACCCTTGTGCTACAGACTCTCTGTGCTGTGAAGGTAATTCCTGCAATACTTGATCAAACTCATGTAAATAAGATGTATAATTGGACATGATTGTATCCGTGTGTGTCGTTTTGTTGCTCTTTAAGTATCAATAAAGTATTTTTGAATGAGATGAGCGTGACTTTCTTAATCTGACAGGACCGGAACCTGGAGATGTTGTTGCTGAGAGCAACAAGTTTTTTTTTTTTACTGCAACAAATGTTACCATGGATGTGGTTGCTATGGGCAACAATAGTTTGTTCCATCTACCACAATGTAGCCACCCCCTACCACCAGCAATATGACGCTGCCTAGGGACCAATCAAAAACAAACTCCTCTCCATAGCAACCCAGCTCCCTCTCCATAGCAACAAACATGATGCTCGGCCTGTACCGCTGCCTGAGGCCTTTGCACTCTACAAGAGGCTCCAAGTTTCGTTTCTTTCAAAGTGTTTTAGCTTGGTAAGCAAAATACAGCCGCCTGCCGCCCAGTTTGGGCTCCGAAGGGTTAAACCGGTGCCTGTCTGCTCCATCTGCCAGTTGCGTTCTAGAAATAGCAGCTTATTACAGGCTGTCATATGTTCTCTTGGCTCCAGAC